AACCCACAAATCAGTGATGTTCTTCAATCCTCAACATGGATGCAGGCTTGTCAACAAATACTGAGCTCATGGATGGTCACCACTCAATGTGTGAGTTGACTGATGTTCAATCCCCGACCTCTTCGCTGTGTTTGGCCAAGACCTTTCACATCCTGCAAACCAGAAAGCTGGCAGTTGCCATGATCACAATAACATTGCTTTCCATGGATGAGTCAAGTGGTTTGGTCTTAGTCTAAATGAGTCTAAATGCAGGACAAATAGTTTCATCAGTGCAAGGTTCCTGCAATTGGGCAACTGCCAGTCCTTCAAGCCAGGGCAAGTGTCCGCAGTTCGGGACTCAGCTCGTGTCATCTCCTGTGCCAGACAATGGGAACCCCGTAATTCAAACCAGACAAAGTGGCATAGAACAAACATCTTTCATAATGAACATGAGAACAGATTCATGAAATTTCATAAATTCCAAGACTTTCTCCTGAACCTCCTACATTTCTTGAAGGTTGCCAGAAAGAGCAAACCATATTGGAAATCAAAGGGCCTTGGCCCCAAGCTTCACATTCACGGCGCTCTCCTTTTGATAGGGCTCCTGGTGGAGAAACAACTTCTAACATTTCAAAATCCAAACAGGCTACAATGCAGAATGCGCACGACTTTAAGATGAAATCACCAAAGAAATTGGGAAGATTGCCACGCATTTTTCTCCTGCAAGCACCTGAACGGCACACGAAGTCTTAAGTTGGAGAACTAAGTCGTTTTTGCCGACATGATTCAGCAAATTTCAGCAAGAGTTTTCTTGCACCTGAACAGCACACTGAATCCTAGGCTAAGCCGGTCTTAATGTGAAAACAAAGCCACCATGGCTGACACTGAAGTGCATGAGGAAAAACATCAGCATCATTTATCATCCGCTGGACTCAGGGTTGCCACCACAGGAGGTAGAGGATTGCTTGTCATTGGTGTGATTGGAATCGTTGGTGTCAGTGGAGTCCTTGGTGTCATTGGAGTCGTTGCTGTCATTGGAGCCCTTAGTGTCATGGTAGCCCCAATTGTAGTCATACTCGTCATGGCTGTAGCCGGAGGTCCATGTCCTGCTTCTGTAGCGACGGCCCCATGACCAATCCTGTTCTTCTTCTTCTTCTTCTCTGATCCTCTTCTTCTCTTTCTTCTCTGTGGGCTCTCTGGGTGGAATCACTCGAGGCTTCAGATCATCGTCACACTCCACCTCAATGGTTTCAGGCTCGGGGACCGAAGTAGTGCCACCTTCTGACCCTTTCATGGGCTTGCAGACCTTGGTGAAGCTGCTGCTTGTTTCAACAGGTCGTGGTCGAGGCTTTGGTGTTGGCTTCAATGGTTCTGGTTCAATGACCGCAGGAGTCAGCGGCATCTTCCCCATCATTGGCATCATGAATGGTGGCGGCGGCAATGGGCTGTCGCCAACAAGAGCAGGCACTGGCAAACCACTGGGTGCGATCGAAGGCACAAATGCCCAACACCATTGGCCATTCATTTTTCCTACTTTCTGAGTTTCCAGCTGGGGCTTTGAGGCAAAAAGATCTGATGAGTGAAAACATGGGCTTCCAATTCAGTGATTCCAGTTTGCTGCAGTTGCTGTGGTAACTCATTACCTTTCTCTGTTTAAGATTCACAAGTCACATGGACATTCGATATCACCCGATGTCTTTACCACTTTCTTCTTTACCACTTTCTTTTAGCAACCATGACACAACCCAAAACGCAGGTGGTCCTGTGTGGCTCTGATGAAGTGGGAGGCAGGGGTGTCAATCTTGAAGGTGATGAAGAAAGTCGCCATCCTGTTTGGGCGCCAACTGAAGTGAAATCAAAGCCATTACCCAAACAATTTCCACAAGAATTTGATTGCACAAATTCCAGTTCCAGTGGCATTCAAACCTGGTGTCAGGCAAGACTTACTGAGTCAAGCCGGCCTGAATCTGCAGGGGGCTGCTTCCGAAACGGCAGCGGCTTAGATAGACAATGCAGCCATCCTACAAGATAACAATCTTTTGAAATGGTTTCATTGTTTATCTACAGTTGCAGTTGAGCACATAGAATATGAAATTTTCGTGTAAGTATGTTAGAATTTTCAAATATTTAAATACTCTAGATCTAGCATGATGTTCTAAAGTATGGTGCACTGAATTGCTTTGAATCTGTGTCTAGTTGTTCATCTGCTACCCTTGAACATATCTAGTGTGTGCAGCAACTGGCTGGATTTGAGCTGCGCAAGAACGGAGCAGGTCCCTGGCAATATCGATGCATGTCCAGACCGATACATGCACATGCTATTTTCATCACGTGCTGGTTTCACCATGATCGATGCAGTCACTTCGCACAATTCACCTTAAAAACAAAAGTGCCCTCAAGACCAAAAGCACCCTCAAAACCAAAAGTGCCCAATGTTTTTGTGGTTCTCCCCTACAACAGCACCACAATGAGTTCAAACTTGTTTGGCATTTTTCCAAGCAATCCGAAGTCACTGGTTAAGTGTGGCCACAAAGCGCATGATTGGCGCCAACCTTGCCACCGAAGAGGGCAGCTCCACATTGATGTTGTTGAATGTGGGAGCCTGGAAGTTGACAATGAACAACGGGTGGTTGCCACCATGCCAATAAGGAGTGCAAAACAATGCACATGCAATCTCAAAATAAACCCAGAAACAGCTTCAAACCATGGTAGTTCTGGTAGCGGAGCTGGTTGGGGGCCATTGCATAGATTAACCTTGATGGAGCAAGGCAGAAGTCAAATGACAAAAGCCAGGAACACACAAAGGTATGGCAAGAAGCCAAGAATTCCACACTTCGCCGTGTAGACTCTGTGACCGCCTGCTCCAGCAAGATGTCGCAGAGGGCAAGATAGTGCTGCCTCTTTGCAGGTTTCACAGGCCTCAGCGGCCTGGGAGTCCTTGGAAACTCACCCATCAAATTCAAGTATCGCCTTGGGAATGCCAGGGTAGGTTCTTGGATGAGATAATCATCAGATGCAAAGCGCTTCGTGAGAATGATGACATCGTGAGGGTCAGTTTCCAGTTGGGCTCCTCGCCCTTTGGCTGCCACCTCAAGGTTTTGAGGCAAACCTGAGAAGCGACTTGGCCAACTTTGCCTAAAAGTGAATCAGGCAAAACAAACACATGTGAGGCGGATTCTGTTCCACAGATTGTGGCCCTGACTGTGGCGACGCATGGCAATAAATGAATGCAAACCAGAATTGTCCTCTTTGAGCCCTCCTGAAAAGACCACAGGTGCACTCTCAAACCTCAAAAGGCCGGTGTGGATTCAACGGAGTAAATGAATTTGTGTTGCAGTGTGTGGCAACCAAATTTCCACCCATTTGCCATGCTGCCAACAAACCAGGATTTCCAATCCCGCACGGAATCAATGTACTCTACTTTGATCTGGCAATCCTTTCCCACCCAAGAGCGGATACCAATATGGTGTAACATATAGTCCAGCTTCCTGGGCCAAAACATGCAATGCTTCTTCAAACTTCATGGTTGCAAGTTGCAACACTTCAGTCGGAACAGGGCATCAATTCAATTCACTGCACTGTGTCAACCTTGCACTACTTCACAACTGATGATAAGAACAAACGCTGCAAATTTTCCGACCGAGATTCTCCACCAAGTCTTTCTCATCTGCAAGTATGTCACAGTATCTCATTGCTGTGGCCAAAAGGCCAAATAATTGATCTCAGCACAAAGGGCCCCCCAAAACAGCGGGTCTTGCTGAACAAAAGAAGGAGGCTTGCAACGATCAGTCCCAGTCACCTAGCGTCCCATGTGTGTGGCCTACTCGAGAGAATAGGGCCGCACAAAGATCCAATTTTGCAGTGCAGGTGGTGTAGGATGCCCACTTCAAAAGAGAATTGTTTTTGTTCTCTCTGACACAATTATCTGCCTCGGATGTTGAATGAAGCAGGAAAAGTTTGAGAAACCGAAGGAAACCAAAGGCACAACCAAACTCTTTCATTGATGGCTTAAGTAAGCACACTGAAAACACAAGACTTACCAAAGACAAGAGACCCACACCAAGCATTGCTTTGGTGTGGGCAGACTGCGTCTCTTGCACTCTTCCATGGAAAACTCCACAGATCTCGTGAGGCACTCCAGCACAGTCGATGCATCTGATGGCAACTGGGGGCTCAGCACGAACATATGCAAAACCACATTGTGTGCCCTTAGCCAAGCATGGGCAGATCATTGCCGTGCTCTTGAAAAACAACATGGACCAAGGAAAATTGCGGAATGTATAATGCAAATGATGATAATCTTGGTTAAGGGTCCAAATCCCTTGGATCTTGAATCTCGGGCGTTGCAAAGGAGCTTGGGATTTGGTGACTCTCCCCCCTCTGGCTCTTGGCACTGACCATTTGCTCTGGTCCATTCCATCCTGAGGTGGCAATTCATGTCTGAACAGCAAACCCCTTGGAATATTTGGAATGAATAATGATGAAGCCAAGAATCGACATGAAAAGCCAAAGCATTGCCTTCATATGCCAATGGGTTCTGTACCTGAATTCATGTCAGCGGAGGCTGTGATCCTGTTGGCTTACAGCATTGGCTTTACATGTTGAATTGAAGTTGATGATTGAATGATAGCCAAACTGCAGAAAGAAAATCTTCCAGTGCCCTGTCCGCACCAATCTGGTTAATGTGGTCTCGGTAGACTTTGGACAGCTCAAACCTTTCCTGCAGGTCCTTGGTTTGAATGCAGCATGGCACTGTTACAGGAAGTTGTTTTCCTGCGTGGGCTGGACCTGAAAACTCCGCTGCATGCATCTCCTAAGGGAGGGCTCAAACAGTTTGAACATGAACTCAACCCTTTTTTCAATGCAACCTAGTGTCTCTAGCTCTTCTGAAGTCCTCCTTCAGGTCTGCACATGTGTCACAGCAGCCATGCGTAGATGGCGCCAAGAATTTGAGCGTCCCACTCCAAATTTGAGTGTAGGTCCTCCAGAAATGATTGTACCTCATGGAGGGCAACAACAAATCACTTACAATTTGAAAAAGAGGGGTCACGAAAACATTGAAAGAATTGGGCTTGATGTTTGCAACTGAAGTTCGAGATCTCTTCAGTGCGGCCCATCTGGTAGTACAGCATTCTGATGGTGCCAGGTGGCAGCCATCTGGTTGGGAGCGAAGCCACTTTAGACGCCCAGTTTGTCTCCACTGCCCTCAGGTAAACTGAAAGCAAAAAAACAAAATGGATGGGCAAGTTGATGACATGTGACCTGAGCCCCTGACTCACTGAAAAAGGAATCCATCCCTAGCAAATGCATTCGCAACTCCTCATCGGACTCCAAGGTTTCCTTTGGGACAATGAGGTCAGTCCCGTCATCAACTGATGAATCGCTTTCACCTGGTCACAACATGTGGCCAAAGGGAAGCACAGTTGTCATGGTGATGGTAGTGACTGGTGATGATGACCATAACTCTATGTGAGTCTCTTACTTTGTTTGTGTAACTGTTTGGGAAACTTTTCAAACGCTCCGCCTTCATCTTCATCATTTCCTTTCCCCGATTCGCCGATGATGACCGTCAACTTCTCTGGCTCCATCTTCCTGGGACGGCCGCCGCGAGCAAACCTCAAGTCACATTTGCTCGGCAAGCCACAAGACCGATCAAGAGAAGATTCAGACCAGCTAATGAGAGCGCTAATGATATTAGCCAAGGTTGGAAGGTCAGCTTTGATTGTTTTGAATCCAAGATGCTTGTCTGGAAGCATGCCGCCAGCTCTCACATAGACCGATAGCAGAAATTGGTTGATGAGCCTAGTCTTCCTGCAGGATCTTGGCTTTACCTGACTAGTGGCAAAGTGCGATGCAAAAATTGAAACAACTAGTTCCAACTGAACATCATACAACGGCGCCGGTATCAGAGAAGCCGGCGCCGGAGATACCGGCGCCGGATCTGCAGGGTAGCTGGCTAAATTCAAAAAACAAACTTTCAATTGATTCAATGTCAAGATACGAACCCCCAAACTTTGTACCGTCGATCTACCTGGCCTTGGTTCACCCTGTGAAAGCGGCTGTTGCCAAGCCCAATGGCTGCAATGACGCACTTGCCGCCCATCCTTTGGCCAAGCAAATGCCACACCTTGCTTTTGGCAACGGTTTGTCTGATGTATTCATCTTGGATGTGCTTTTTCAAGCCCCAAAACACTCGAAGAAACTCAAGCAAGGAAGGTTTGATCCTGGCTAACTTGGAGTAGCAGTGCTTCCTGTGACATCGGCAGCATGGCTTGGCAATCAAAGACTCAATGCGTAGGGCACTGGGACCTGATGACCCAAACCTCGGAGAGACAATCAAGGGCCCCACCCGTTTGTTTGCAATTGAATGTCACAAACGGCTACTGTGAAACATCATGCCCTTCATTTACACACAGCTGAGTTGCTTGACACGGTCTTGAACCTTTGCTAAAAGTTTCCTTTGGGCTCCATTGTAGTTTGGCCGCTTTCCTTAACGATGCAACCGTTCATATATAGAGTGGCAGGAAGGGCTAGAAGAAAACAAACATAGCCACCCCAAAGATCCCAAAGAAGGTGGTAATCAAAATTCAATGTATCAACAAACAAGGATCGGCCTGACAACGACTCCTCTCTTGAGGATGCCCCAAAGCAATGGATTCTGCAGACCGTTGGAACACTAACAGACTTTCCAATGTCAAGTCTATCTTGGAACCAGCAGATTGCCCACTGCCATCTTGACAGAACTCCCCCATTGGAGGTTGACCCAACTCCCCCATTGAAGGATCAGCTTGGTGTGGAGCATCAACACATGAAATGCCTCGCAAAAATGCTTTCCTTGCTGATAGTGGCACGGATGGCGCTGAAGCTGGTGAACTCACAGCCCCGGAAACCTCAGAAACTGCCGATGATCTCTGAGATGATGAGCTCACAGGCTGCTGCGGCTCCTCCTCTTTCAAACTTGCGATGAACCTCAAACTTGCAGTGCACCGCACTGCTTCTATCCAACAATGTGAAGGGAACACTTGGAATCTATATCTTCCATGCAGGTCTGACACTGCACGACATGACAATTGCGTCTTGGATAGGGGCATGTCATTTCTTTCAGCAAAATGGATTGCATACAAGACACTGCCTCCGAAGCTGAGACATGGCCAAAATGATGATAAGCTTTCCGATCATGCTAAAACCCATCGCTATCCATTGAATTCAAGAGTGTGCACTTTGGCACAATTGACTTGGTGTTGTTCTGTATGTCAAACCCAATGGGCACTAAAGTTACAAGACTAGGACTGGGGTTAATTAGAACGTTTCACTGGCTGACTTTTTTTGGCAGTTTGGTTTTTATATCTCTATGCACATGCTGGTAAAGCAAGTTTGGATCTTGATCCTCCAGCGAACAGGTTTCACCAATTCGGCGATTTGCAAGCTTGCTGTCGCACAAGATGCTCAAAACCAGGCCCTTTGATCAATTCCACTCTTGTTTTTACGAGGTCCCTACTGTGGATGGAAGAAATCCTGCACCACATTGGATGGTTGAAACCCTATAAATAGTGGGATAAACCACCTATCAGCTGGTGCAGGATTTCTTCCATCCACCGTATGACAAAAAAAATGAACCAAGGCATCTTGAGCGCTGCGCTAGTCCAGTGGCTGGTGAGCCTGAGCATGTTGCTGAATGCCAACAATTCTATAACATTATATAACTGTTATGTGGCACCATCGGTTGAGAAACTATCATTCAGATCATCCAGAAACCAATGAAAATTACTTTACTTCGAGTGATCCCCACCATTCCCCACCATGACATTTATATGTCGTTTTAATATTGGATAATATTGGCATATCTTCTGGCATTCCACCTGGTCACTGACACATCTGCAAGCAAGCCATTGCGTTCTTTTTGCCCTGTGACTTGCTAGCCGGCCTGCCGCTTCACTCTAGAATGTCACCTGGCGTCACCGCTTGCAGTTCAGGCTGCAAAACAAACATGCCAAGACATGTTGGAGTTCACATGCATCACTCATGCCATGTCGCCTGCATTGCAGCTTGAAAAATCACATACCAAGACATGTTGGAGACCACCTGAATCACTCATGTCATGCTGCAATGCTGCTAACACATGATGCAATGCTGCTCAAACACATCATCCGTTCCACGAGACAACTTGCTTTGGCTTGATCTTGCTTGACCCAGGACCCAGCAAAGCAAGCGAACCACTCAAATTCTACACACATGATCTTGTATTCTATCTGGCTTATCATCTGCCATTCTTTGTCCATATGTTCTAGTCCATTTGACTGGCAAACTTCTTTCGGGCATTCTATCCTGCATATCTTCTGGCACACTTTCTGCCAATCTATGTGGCATATCTTCTGGCATTCGATCTGGCATATCTTCTGACATTTTATCTGGCACATCTTCTGGCATTTTATCTTGCATATCTTTTGGCATTCTATCTGACATTTTATCTGGCATTCTCTCTGGCATACCTTCTGGCATTCTATCTGGCACAGCTTCTGGCAATCTATCTGACATTTTATCCGGCATTCTCTCTGGCATACCTTCTGGCATTCTATCTGGCACAGCTTCTGGCAATCTATCTGACATTTTATCCGGCATTCTCTCTGGCATACCTTCTGGCTTTCTATCTGGCATATCTTCTAACATTCTATCTGGCATAGCTTCTGGCATTCTATCTGGCATATCTGAGCTGGGAAGGTCCCAGGTTGAGGTCCAGCGGTGCACACTGAGCTGGGAAGTTGGCGAAGAGAGTTGGCAAAGAGCTTGGCGAAGAGTTGGCAGAGGTGGAAGTTGATGCAGACATGGTCGAGGAGAAACTGGAGAAGGAGGGGGAGGAGGAGGAGGCGAGGAAGAGGAGGAGGAGAAGAGCTAGCTGAGGAGGAGAAGAACAACTGTCTGATAAAATCTAACAACTCTCACCTGGCAGGTGGGGAAATATAACCATTATGTGGCACCATCTGTTGAGAAACTATCATTCAGATCATCCAGAAAACCATGGAAAACAATAGAAAACCCATAGTGTTAAAAACCTTTCGCTTGAAGACTTTTCCAGTTTTGGATTCTGTTTTCATGTCCTGGGCGCTGTCACTTCCACCATCCGAAGAAGGCAAAAACATACTCTTGGTCCTGCAGCGAAGTTGCGATGGGAGCTGAACCCATCATATTTTAACATTGTGAGGAACTATCCGACTATGTCCTCAGAAAGCACCATCACATCATTGCCTCAGATTAGACCAGTGGGCCCACCAGAGTCAGTCAACCATGTTTGTCATGATTTGGTTTCCCGACCACGGCTGGCCAGCAGCGATGGATTGTGAGCAGGAGAAACGCTATTCGGCCGAGCATAAAAAGGAACAAGATGGGACAGCGGCTTGGAATACAAACCAGTCATGGAACCTGGATGTCATCAAATGGCACCCAAGTGCAACCAAAACTACATATATATATATTATATATGGAACAAACTACAAAGTACGTAGGATATATACACTAATTATGGGATATTATGGGGGTACCTTATTACAATACCATACAATACCATACAACCAGGAAACGACCTTGGTCACAAACTGCAGTGGTCTGCGCGCACGCACAAGTGGTAAATCCTGCGCCGCTAAGGCTGGAACTGAAGGGGGTGACAGTGCTCCAACAGATTCGTCACCGCCAATGTGAGCGGCAATGGTTCCTTTTCAGATTGGCAGGTGGCTGGTTGAGCAGACTTGTTGGATGTTGATTGATGTTGATCGATGTTGACTGTTGGATCTTGGCACTTGCTGTAAAGGTAGCGCCCAACAGGGGTGACCGGGTGACCCATTGCATCCCATTGCGCACACAGCGCGACAGCAGTCCGAAGGATTGAAAAGTCCAAAGCTCGGGGTGCTGTTCCAACAACAAACGGGGTTTGGAGGAGAATCACATACCGTATCCAGAATTGCATTAGGCCATGGAGTCATGGATGATGATTGTTGGTTGCCATTTGTTTGCCATTGTTTGCCCAGTGCTTGATGGCTTGCATTATTTGAAACACCTTGGTGGAGATGTGTGTGTGTGTGCTCGGCAAAGTCCTGCTGTATCTCGGGTGGTAGAACTTCTCCACCAAAGCCTGGCTCAAGGGGGGTATATCATGTATATCATCATGTGATGCAGAGGACTTGCGACCCTCTTGTCTTAGGGATGCACCGCAGAACCTGTTTGGAGTCTGAGGATCTCTGAATAAGATCCCAGTAGCTCCACAAGCCAATCTTCAAATACTGCTATTGATATCACGGAGCTAAGGCAGAAGCACGAAGTCACGGCAAGAGCTACTGAAGACTTATCAGTCACGAGCTCAACCAGAAAATAATGAAAGATGATGAAAACACATGCAAGCTTTGATGGTCGTAGGAAAACTAGTCCGCAGACGTGGTGAACATGATGTGCTGAGATAGTTATTTGATTCAATTTGATGATATTATACTTGCCGATCATTTGCATATTAATTTGCCATTATTTGCCTATCTGATCCTATTTGATCCTATCCGATCCTATCTACAATCTTTGAATATCTTTGAATATCTTTGAGGCTTTCTCACCAGACACATCTGCCGAGATGATCCCTGCCAGCTCCCCAGAGTGCGACAGATGAGACATTCAAAAATTTCAAACAGATCTTTCCCCGTGCAGCCGGGCACAGCAGATACATCCAGATACCAAGAAATGATAAGAAATGACGAAGCAAGACTGAGTCTACTGAGTCTTTGAGTTTGGAAACTATTTGAAACTATTTGAACCTTATATCTCTTATAACTTATGGTAGACTTTGAATGGTGAATTATTTGAAACTTATGGTAAACTTTACCTCAAAATCTTCAAACCTTACTTGGTAAATCTTGGTCAACTCAGTTTTTACATGTGCTGGGACATGAAGCTGCACCTTCTCCTAGGCACTGGACATGGCACTGACAGCAAGGGTGTCAAGGGAGCAGTTGGACAAAGCTTGGGAGAAGAAGGCGCCAGACTGGTACTGTAGGTGGTTGTAAAATGTTGTAAAGTGTCTTACATGTCTTGTGTCTTGATGGTTTTTGTTCCACATGTCCACTGGCCATTAACAAAATGCCAACGATCATGATTGGCCATGAATAATTCTTCTGAGTTATTTGAAAGTTTATTTGAATTGAACTGGTCCTGTTGCACCGGACCAATGTATAGGCTGTATAGGGTATGGCTAGAATTGGCTAGAGGGATTCGAAGAACTTTGTTTACCGCTTGTTTGGCCTCATCACATTTTGAGCTGCAGAGGCCACTGAGTAGATTTAGCATGCAGGCTTGGTCAAAGCGAACCAACTCAAGCTGGACAGCTGGACAGTTGTATTGCAAGCAGACTAGCCATCAGCATCGGAAGATATCGGAAGCAGAGCGGGATGCAGATTATGTGCAACTCTTCCTTGTAATCGAGTGCCCATACCATTTTCATGTTCAATTTTTTTCTCACTAGGCCGGAGATATGCTCATAGGATTGCAGAGGTAAATAAGCAGATAAGGATAGATAAGGCACTTTTGCAGATAGGTCAATTAAAACAACATGTTCCAAACATTTTCCAATAGCTTGAATGCTTGACTAGTTAAAGCAATGTTGACCTCCCGATGGAAGCCATGCACCGCACGCCACCTTTGTGCCCTCCAGCGACAGTTTCTTGTCAGAGGCATCGAACTTACCCAGTGCTCCTGTTGTCCCGTGATGTTTGGACGCCCTGATGTAGAGTCACAGCAGAGAGAGACGAGAGTTTCTAATATGGCGTTGGGATGTGTTGGGTAACTTGGTTTGGACAGCATGAACCAGGCGTCTTTGATGGTGGGGAGGGACGTGGGCAGCTGCATGACCACAGCAATCCAAACCTGATCCTAGCTTTCAAGATCTTTCAAGTGGTTTTCTAGACACAAGAAGCGTCATGACATTTTTCGGTCGTTTGTGGTCAATCAATTTTCCTTCGTTGGGCTGTCATGAGCTGCAACGTCAGGCCAGCGAGGCTTTGCGGCAAAGGATTGGGCCACACAACTGGGAGCCGACGGAGACCGAGCCGAGACCATCGCGGTGGATCGACGCTTTTTGGCGGGAGAGAGCAGCCGCATGGTCTTGCTGCATGTGCCTTGGCATGCCTTGGCCGTCTCGGCACTGGTGGCCTTCACCAGGTCCCACTGGGTGATGTAATTAGATGAGCTACTGATTTAGCAAGATGCCAGGCTTTGAACATTTTTGAGCAGTGCGCATGTTATACAATGACAACTTGGAGGGTTGTAAGATGTTGTAAGCTTCATCCAAGGACTATCGTGATTTGAAGTTCTTGCAGAGGGTTTCAGCCGTAGCCTTGTTTGGGACATTAATGTCCTCCTCTGGTTTGGCCTATGCTTTGGCTTTGACATGGCCAGTGGAGCGCTGTTTGATGTTTGCATTCCAAATGGTCGGTGTGCCGCTGGCACTGCACGCATATTTGCGAACGCATCTTGGAAGCAGATAGTTGCGCCGCATTCAGTCTGTAAATATGTGTCATATTTCTTTATCTGAACCATTTTGAATCTTCATCACGTCCATGGTGCTGTTGCCATCTCTTGTTCAATATGTGCTGATTCTTGGCCACTGCCATCCATTCCTATCCATTCCTATCCATTCCTATCCATTCCTATCCGTTCCTTAGATATGTGGCCCGTGCTGTCTTGGATCCCAAGCGATCGCAGCTGCTGATCACTGGCTGCACCTGGTTCGGTGCCCCACGGAGCACGGAGGAGGTGATCTTCCTGGACCAGTTGAGGCCTGGCCACGCCCTGGAGGGAGGCTTCATCAAGTTCCGCTCCCCAGCTCCAGCATTGCTCCAGCAATGTCTTCAGATTTCATGGGGAACGAAGTGGGTGTGGTTTGATTGGTTGGTTTTATGGGATATATGATATATATATATATAATATAAGGATTTGGGATTTAGATATTTAGAGTATATTATATTAAAGTAAAGCGGATGACAGAGGTTTTTCAGCACTGCTCAGGTGAGTGCATTAATTAAAACATATTAAAACCATTCGATTGAAATTGAGACAGGAATATGCCAACACATCAAATCTACAAATTTCCATAATATGATTTCGAGGATGAACATCTGCAACTACCAGCTTCATTAGTCAAATCATTCATACGCTTGCAGGTCCCTGATGAAATTTGCAGATAAAAACATGGTACACAATGAGCAGGGATGGTCGATTTGCGCGCTTCACATACTTGGACATCCCGCAAGATGGTGCAGGAAAATCATTCTAAAACATATTAAACATTGTTAGAGGACGTTATTTTTGGGTTCGATGTTTTTTTGTTTCTTGCCTTGGTTGAAGCCTCCACCGGATTTCCATCACCTCCACCGGCCAAGGTTTGGAAGGCTCAGCTTGGGACATTTCTCGGTGGATCTGGTTTCGCATGCCACGGGGTGCGCATGGAACCGACACCGTGCGCCCTGGAAAGCAGGTGGGGAACAGGCGGGCCTGTGGCATCCAGCACCAGCACCATAAAAACACTGGCCATTTATCAAGTATAGTCACTTAGTAGATATATAGTTACTGTCGTTACTCTATCAGACCCTATCATCATCAGCAAGCATGATCATCATAACTTATATAAGATCTTATTAAGTACTAAGAATTATCATCAACGGTTATCAACTATGATAAACTATATAATATCAACTACCAAGTATCATCAACCTTCCAACCAGCTGACTTCCGGTCCAGCAGGCCTGTTCAACGTTCAGCCCAAGCCGTTGAAAAGAGCTCAGCGACTGTTGAGCAACCAGGTTCGATGTGGCAAAGCCTGGGATGTCAACGGACTCTCCCCTGGTTGCTTTGATTGGGGCTACCATATGAAAGATGAGCACTTTTTCGGGGTAACACGGTGTTTCACACGGCAACCCCCCAGGGTCATCCACTGTATGCTGTCCCCAACCAGGCGTCGGCCGGCGGCATTTTCTGGGAGCAGGCCTTGGCGTTGAAGGCGGGATGGGGCAGGGCAGCCACTGACAGATCAGAAGCCGACAGCGAAGTCTGGGAAGCCTGAGAATATCCAAAGAGATCTTTCAAAAGAATATGACATATATACCCATGCATTGAGTTTGGCAGGCTTGGGTGTGCATGTATCATCTTTAAGTGTTTCAATGAATGCTATCATTTTGGCTCAAGTAAACTTGAACCAAAATAGCATTCATTGCTGTTTTCTTTCTTGGTCTTGGTCAGGGGTGACCTTTCCAGACCTTGATTGGGTGGTTCAAACTATCTACAAGGGGCGACCTTGTATGCAGCGCAAACTCCCAGGAATCGATATCCCGGCAGCCACTGAGGCGAAGATCCTTCATGCTGCTGCTTTCCTGGAGTTCAAGAGCCACGTGGAAAGGCTGGCGCGGGAGGGCTCTGATGCTGCAGCATACACATGCTGGATGCATGGTATCGAAGTGTTGCATTCCCCCTACGTCATCACGACTGGGACAGATTCAGAACTTTTCCCCCCTCTGCCGAAGCTACCCTGTTGCCTTGATGACTGCCAGCGTTGCGCAGCTCATGTGGGGGGGTTCAAGTTCCCGTGGCTCGGCTTGTGGAACAGCCGTGGCGTTGTGTTGCCCGACGATGTGGCGCCTGCGGATGCTTGGGCGTACTACTACCAGCATCAGGACCCAATGGACCTGCTGCTGGTCGCCGCCTACTCGAAGCTCAAAGTGGCCGCTGACATCGTGCCCCAGGATCTCTACGGGTTGCAGCTCAGGTGCTCAGCGGGCGACGCTGGGCAACTGGGCTTGGGGGAGCTGTTCGACCAATGGAGGAGCTGGCTCAGATGCACAGGCCCTCACGAGCTCCTGCCGGTCTTCCTCGAGCCGCGGCATTTCCCCAGAGCACCTAGGGGGCGACCCTGGGTGGCCTGGGGGAGAGACGGCACCAGGGCACATCGAGCGCTATGTGGATGGCTGGAATGCCAGGACACAGGCATGCTTCAGCTGGGCACCGCCTGCACAGAGTGCGGAGACCCCACCAGGCGCGTGTGCTGGGCATGCTGCGTTGGGATGTGTAGCGACTGCTTCACCTGGCGTGAGCCATGCAGCACTTGTGGAGGACGTAAGAAGATGTTTGCTGCAGGTTGATTTTATGACAGAGGAGGCACCTCTGAAGTCACCGCAGCATCTTATTGCTCTCCGCACCTTAGCAATCTTGTTAGGGTGCAGCGCCATGGCATCAGGCGGCAAAGGCTACTATGCAGCGCAAGCGGCAGCCTCGTCCTCGTCAGGGGGTGACCCTGAACCGGGATGGAGAGCAGCCGACTCCTTGATGGTGATAGCTGCACAGCGGGCGCGTCAATGGAGGGAGAATGAAGGCCTCCTGGACGACAACGACTTCGCCTATGCCTACACCGACTACGATCAAGTCGTTGGATTAGCTGGCCATCACGTAGCGGATGACTGGCTGCAGACAAGAGCAAGGGTGGAAGAGCACCTCCTTGCTGCTGGGGCCAAAGTCGTGGAGGACAACCCCAAGGGTTCCGTCACTCTGCGCCCTGTGCGCAAGACAATTTACAAGAAAAAGCCCAAGGCCGTCAACGTCACCAAGAACTTGGATGAGGCCGTCCAAAAGCGGGTGAACGGCTTGGTGTCGATGTTTGTCGGAATGGGCGCATACAAACCAGCTGGCATCTTGACAGACACCCTCAAGGCCGAATGGAAACAAACGTGCAAGAGGATCGCCGAGAAGAAGGTGAAGGACGCGGAGAAGGCGACCATTGACCGAGTGGTCAACACCTGGTTGGAGCTGAGGGCCTTCTTGGAGAGTCGGGGGCGACCCGCTCCTCCTGGAATGGTCGACTTGGATCAGTTCCTCAACCATACCCAGGCGCCAGCACGAGCACTCCAAGCCTTGAAGTGGATGAACAAGAATGCCGACCAAGACATGGAGCTGGGAAACTTGCAAGTGCCTACAACACCCAGGGCGACTGGGCAGCGTGGGCAAGCACCAGTGGTGGAGCCGCCATTAGTGCAGGCCTTGGAGGACCGCATCATGGAGTTGCACGCGGTCGGCGATGAGAGGTGGTCAGTTCTTCTGGCTCCTTGGATCATGTCGTTTGGCTGTTTGAGGTATGCGCATATCGCGCGGTCAGAACCTCGGCGCCTCACCGCTGCATTCCTCCATTGCAGGTGCCCTAAGGGAAAACAAAAGCATGCCCGCGAAGGTTTCGACTTTGCGGTGCCGGCCACATTCGCCAACGGCTTCTTTTGGGCCAAGGAAGTGCTGGAGGCATACAGGACGCTGGCACCAGCAAGGCAGAGACTTGCAGGCCTCTGTTTTTCGGACGAAGGGCGCCCATGGACGATCCTAGAAGTGCAAGAGACGATGCAACAGGAAATGTCCGTGTTCCTTGACAATCCAGAAGACCTGACCACCTACAGCTGGAGGAGGCTTGCACCCACGGTGGCCCAGTTGTTAGGATGCAGGCCTGAAGAAATGGCAGCCCTGGGTGACTGGCAAAACAAGAGTGAGCAACCAGAGGTGGGGGCGATGGCATTTCACTATTCTTCGGCAAAATACGCCGCGTCGGTCAAGGTGAAATCCCTGATCTGGGGCGCTACAGCTAAGCTCGCTAGCAACCTGCTGTGGGAGGCGATCCCGCAGGCAGAGCTAGATGCAGCCCGAGCTCATGGCCTGACTGAAGCCGACAGGTTGCTGCGACAAGACCGCCAACCTATGTGGGCCTCTGCACACAGCTTTCAGGACGTGAAGAAGAGGCTCAAGTTGTCACAGCAGTTCGTTGAAGCGGCACAGCAAGCCCGACAAGAGGCCGAAGCCGCACCGGCACCTCAGATGCCTGATCAACTCAATGGCAAGGTGCTGACGGCCACTTTGAAGAATGGTAAGGCCATTTGCCCGGAGTTCCAGACGAACGAGTGCCCGAATCCGGCAGACTCCTGCCCCTTCGGAGTGCACTTGTGTGCCATCCTACAAAAGTCAGGACGGGCATGTGGTGGCAAGCACGGCGCAGGCGTCTGCAACATCAAGCGGGCGGTGTTGGCCGCAACAGCAGTGCCAGCGGCACCCAAGCCATCGGCCACCTTGGTGCCGGCAGCCGTGGGGGAGAAGGCCACTTTTGGCCGGAAGAGAACCGCGGCGAGCGGTGCCACTGACGACGAGATGGCCGAGGTGATGCGCACAGCTGTCAAGAAAGCCCGAGGTCAAGCTGCACCCAAGACTCCGCCTAAGGCGCCAGCCATTGCAGCCCCCAAGACACCTCCGAAGGCCGCCGCTGCCACACCTAAGCCACCGGCCACAGCTGCGCAGTCCAGGGCTACAACCACAACGCCGAAGCGCTTGGCCGCTCCTGGGAAGCCACAGATCAAGGCCATGCCAAAGAAAGGCCGTGGCAAAGCAGCAGGAGACACCTTGGACCTCCACTTGGAGCGGTTGGGTGTGGGCTCAGGGACAGCCCAAGCCCCGACTTGCATCTGGACATCCCGGAAGGGTGGTGGCATCTACCTGGCAGGACTTCCAATGAGGCAGACGGTGGACAAGTTCCCCAAGACAGCGTTGCAAATCTGCTGCTTCCCGAATGGTCCTGAGAGCCGGGGGGGGTGACCCTCCCGGGAGCTCAGTTGATGACCTTCGCGGCGGCATACAGCCAGGAACGCAACGAACAGTGGACGGATGTGTGGCCGGCCGTCAAGAACACTGTTTGGCACGGCGACAACGTCGTGGTGCACTGCATCAAGGGGCGACACCGGGGTGCTTTCTTAGGCATCCTTTGCCGTGCATTGCTGGCCGGTGAGTCCATTGAGGATGCCAACCACTACGTGGAGAGCCGCAGGGATACAGAGCTGAACAAGGTCATTCGCGACCAAGGCATGCGGAAGTGGCTGCATAAGACCTTCCAGGACACCGCGGTGGGAACACAGCACCCTGAGCCGCAGGGATATGCAGCTACGGAGAGGTCCAGCACCCATGTCACGGTCGAGGACGGCATCACCTTGTGCCAGCATAAGCAGGCCGATGGGAAGGCGAAGCGCCTGGTGAACCCATACATGTCCACGGACGTCTTTGAAGCTCTGGCATGGGAGCGCCCCTGGTGTGACCAGTGCCTCCGTCGAGCGCCAGCGTCATGGTGGCCGCCTGCCTAAGCTGCCCAAGCCGAATTTTTGGCCTTTGCGCTGATCAGCAGCACTGGCCCGTTCCGGCCATGGAGAGCCGAATTCATCAGCTCGGGGCTTGGATAAGAGCATCAATCCAGCCTGCATGACCGCCCCCAGCAGTAACACCATGCGCGAGAGGAAAATAATAGAGCCAGGTGACTTTCAGTAGGGTGACCACTGAGCAAGTGCCGTGCCCTCATGTTTTTCGTTGTGTTTCAAGTTTTTCCTTTCATGACAACACGCAAGACCATCTGGGAGGGGGACCTCAGATAGTCGAGTGTACCATAGCTCTGTGGCAGCATGAAGGTGATGTCATGTGAGGACGCAACATAGCTGTGCGTTGTACACATGTCCAGATTTCACATCAGTGTATGTCAGAGTCCAGTTATTTCATGCCACGCCAGGCGGTTCCAGCATAACGCACGGGGGAGACCCGAGGCGCAGTTTTCAGTCAAAGGGAGGGGATCCCTGGGCCTTAGCTAGAGGGGTGTCCTCAAGAATAGGCCATGGAGACTGATAAAGTCCCACTGGAAAAGGGTTCCCCGGAGGAAATCCTAAGGAAGTTGGGTGACAACTTCTCGTTGGATGATGGGGTAATCACAGCCCTGCTCCGGTTGGGCGTCGAAAGTTTGCAAGAGTTTCGTTTCCTCTGGGCATCGGAGCAAGCCATTGAGCCCTGGGTTGCTAAGCTGGGCCTGGGGGATAAGGCATTGCTGATGACGGCTCGAGTCCGCAGAGCATGGGCCGCAGTGGGACTCTACTACCGTCAGGTGGAGCAGGATCGATCCAAGATTGCACTGTCGGACTTGGACACCATGCTTGGGGAGACCGAGCTGCG